GCATAGCAGGTGTTTTACCGCGTCTCTCATGTAGTCCCTTGTTCTGGGAGAGATAGCGTCAGTGTAGGGGAAGGGATCCCACCACCTGCCAGCCAGCCCAGGAGGGCCTGCGAACGACCCACCCCAGAGGAGAGAGAGGGCCCTGCGACAGTAGACCGAAGTCAATACCCCGGGCGGGAGAGGAGAGAAGAGCCAGACTCCCCTAGGCCGAGGCCAAAGGCAGGAGTGGGTAGGAGGGTGGAGAAAGTTTTGCGACGAAACAAAAAACTCACGATAAAAACTGTGGTGTTGAGTTTTCAATCGCCGGAGGTGTAGCGGAGACCGAGGATGGACTTAAAGCTAGGGATTTTTCTTTTTTTTATTTTTGTTTAACTCATTGATTATTTGTTTAGGGTACAAAAAACGTATGGAGCGCTAGCTATGACGACAAAAAACCCATATCCCTCCTCTCGCCACAGGAAAAAGCCAACCCCCCAAGCCCCTCTGGTATGGAGCCAACCGCACATCTCGCCTCAAAGAAAAGAAACCCAAGCCCCGCTAGATGGACGAACAAGGGAATCCTAACTAAGAAGAAAGCAGAAAGGGCCAGGAAAACCCGCTGAGAAATCCCAAAAAGACAAAAGAAAGGTTAGTAGCAAGCCACGTAGGCCCTGAAGGGCGAGTCCACTCATTCAAGCGGGAAGCAATGCACGAAGCGCGCTAAGATAGGGGGCCCCCCCAAGAACCACTCCAAGGAGACAGTGCAATACCATGGAGGGAAGGAGGAGACCAGCCAGCCGTGGGCGATAACCGGGGGGGAGGGGAAGATGTAGCAGTAGGGTGCCAGCCGATCCGACTGTAGGGAGAGGAGAGCGGTGGGGTAGACCCAAAGACCTTAAACATCATCTATCGGTAATCGTGTTCGTGTCTGACTAGGCAGCCTCTTAGGGAAGCAAGAGAATGGGGAGATCGACCGTAGCCTGTTGGCTGTTCTCCCCTACTGCAACTGTAGTCCCGGCCGTCTGACGATGGTGGTTAAGGGGTTGCCGACCGTGAGAAGGCTAAGCGAGCCAACTCAGGAAGAGGAGAGGACTCCCCGCCATGCGTGGGGGGAGGAGGAAGGAGGAGTAAGGAAGGTCATCAACAGCCGCCTAGGCAAAGCATGGCAGGTGTTTTACCGCGTCTCTCATGTAGTCCCTTGTTCTGGGAGAGATAGCGTCACTGTAGTGGAAGGGATCCCACCACCTGTCAGCCAGCTGAGGAGGGCCTCCGACCGACCAACCCCCAGGGAGAAAGAGGGCCCTACAACGGTAGACCGAAGTCAATACCCTGGGCGTGAGAGGAGAGAAAAGCCAGACTCCCCTAGGCCGAGGCCAAAGGCAGGAGTGGGCAGGAGGGTGGAGAAAGTTTTGCGACGAAAACAAAAAACTCACGATAAAAACCTTGGTGTTGAGTTTTCAATCGCCAGAGGTGTAGCGGAGACGGAGGATGGACTTAAAGCTAGGGGGGTATCTCGATATTTATGTTCCTCGTCTGGGTGGTGGCGGCCTACATTCAATCCCTTACTGACTATGTACCTGCCATACCAACGCTTCAGTGTCTTTGGAGTGCGAACTTCGTTTGACCCTGAAAACTAACTTCCCTGCTCTCTTCCTGAGTGGAGTGATCAGCTCCGTCAAAGGACTTATCAATGACTCTCCTATGTGCATAGCTTAGAGTGCATGACGAAGATAACTAACTCGACCAGTGAGTTGTTATTAACCAATTGTAACTAGGTCTTCCGGATGACTCTAGCTTACGCGAGCTGAAGGGACATGCACATTACTTCTTGTAATTGCATATAGACTTGCAGAGGTCGTAGTTCCATAACTAACCCAGCAATTTGAACCAACTAAGTCTTATCTTATAGAGCGGAGCTCCTTCTATGTTATCCAGCAAAAACGCCTCGGTCGCCTGCCTCGTATCTCCGCGGAGCAGGCTGCATAGATGCCTTATCATATCGTGCGCAAATATCTTAGCGCTATGAATGCTGTGGTGGGGCCCGGAGTCGAACACGTGACCTTATGCATTTGGTCACATGTCGCACCGATTACGCTTCTATGTGTAACACAGAGATTTGTTTTATGTTTCGTTTTACTTGTGATTTCAAGTATTCTTTGATACGCAGTTTGTTTTACTTGTAGTTTTAAGTATCTTTTGATGCTCAGTTTATTTTACTTGTAGTTTTGAGTATTCTTTAATACTCAGTTTGTTTTACTTATGGTTTCATTCAAGGAATATTTGGGAACTTGCCCATGCAGGACATGGACAAAACTTTGTATTTAAAGACTGCTAATTCTCTCAAAGGAACAGCAGACTTCAACAGACAGAGTATTTCTAATATACTTGGTTGAATGGTTACCTCTTTACATCCCTATTCTTTATATCTTTCTCTCAAAGCCTTCCTTAGTATAGTATGCTCATAAATTGCAAACTAACTTGTACGTTACTTCTATTGTACCTGGAAGGATGACTAGTACTCTGGTACAAACATGTTACAGCCAGGAAATCTCGATGAACTGGGCAGCCCAGCCCAGGCAAATCCTGGGTCATGTTATTTCCAGTCCTCTAATAATCACTGATGTTGGGCCTAAAAAGTACACCTAAGACATAATATAGTAGTCATTGAGATTAATGCTATCAAGATTGATCCCAGCATCTTTACCCCTAATATTATCAATCTTGGTTTCAAGTTTTCACTTGATACTCTTTCAGTGATGATAAATCCCAGCTCTGAAAATCCTCCTACCTTTGTATACCCCTATAACCAGCTCTTGAGGCTACATGGTACTATCAGTTATGACGAGATCTACAGGCCTCCTACTTGTGATGAGAGAAATGACCCTTGCATCATAGTCCTCAAGTATGGCAGAACGAGTGGCCTGACTGTTGGCCCTACTAATAATGTCTTGTCCTATATGCATGACTACTTCAGAAATACTATCTCAGGAGTTTCTAAAGAGTAGGCTATCCTACCAGGTAACCAGACTTCTAGTGCCTTCTCAACTAAAGGTGACTTGAGCTCTGTCATTATTGAGGGTACCAGACATATTGGTAGTATCCTTACTGGCAGTGGTAGTCTTAAAGATTCCTTAGATGTGACTTATACTACACTGATCAATTTCGTCTTACAGACTATCTGTTGCAACACATCTCTTGCTTAGTCCTACATCCTCTGAGCTTAATTTACCGAGACATAACTCCTACAATGTCTGGATACCTAAATGCATAGATGTTATTGGTAATGTTGGCAAGGCACTCTGTGCTTCAGTTAACCTGTTGTTTTTATGATCTGGGGTCTTTCAGTTTCTTGTTCTAGAATTATTTGTACTCCTCTCCAACTTCCTGTCTTCTTCCTGTCCTGGTCTTTTGTCTTCTTTCTGACCTGGTCTTTTGGCTTCTTTCTGTTCTGGTCTTCTGGTTTTTTTCTGACCTGGTCTTCTGTTGGCTTTGATTGAATGTTCTGGGAATATTGGCCTTTTAGATATAGCTTGTATTTTTTTTTGTACATATAAGTTTCTTATTTTAATCTTATTAGATTAGTATCTGTCTTTAATGTGATTTATGGTATAACTAACCATGACAGTGAAACCAATCAGTGCCAAGACAACTACCCTGCCTTAACCCCAAGTATGACAGAACAGCAAGGGGGCAAGTACTTAAGTAAGGTTACCCAAACAATATACCATGCCTCAACAAAATGTAGGAAAAGAATCTGAGCATGCAATGAACCTCCAGCCACGTACAGTACTAGTACTCTAATGTCCTGACGTTTGTGAGCACAACTGCTATTGCATACTACTAAAATTCAGCTTTTTTGCCCGGATCTTGGCATCATGAAATATTGGTTGTGTTCACAAACGTCAGGACATTACGAGTACTGGTAAGGTTGACTCCCTACCGGTATACTGATCTAACTTATAGGGTGCCCGATAAAGGGTGGACTACTCGAGTACCGTATCTGTCTGTAGATTTGTACAAGTACAGTACCGGTAGAGTATCTCGAGTAGTCTACTGAACTCGAGCACGACTGCTAAGCGGTATAGTACCGGTACTTGCACCCAAGGTAAAGAGTTTAAGCATGGATTACCTGCGGCCGAACAGCTCTGGCCCTGGGATAGCCCCCCTGCTCCGGCAACACCGTAACAATAATCGGGCCAATTGTCTACAGGTTAGAAGATACCGCGATCGGGTCTGTCTTCATGGGTTTCAGGGGTGCGGAACGTGAAGCAAAATTTTGTAAAATTACTCGCAGCAAAACCCCAAACCAAGCAGGGCAATCCGAGAAGGGATCAAACAGATACACTCTCGTACCATCGATACACTCCTACCGGTAGTATGATATACGGGGGGAGCTGGGGCGTAGACCTCCCCCGTGCCCCCTACGCCAGACCAATTTGAATGACTATCGCAAAATTCACGCCTTTAACCTACAAGAATACCGTACGGTAACTTTATTCATGTCATGGCGGCGTATGGTGAATCGTGTGCGCTCGAGTAAGTAAGCTCCATGACCCCCAACCTGGTGATATCTCTGGCTGCTTTGAGAAATGGGCCTCTCCATTGGCCAGTTCAACCCGCTCCAGCGATGGGCTAACGTCACCAAGAAGTCATGCTAAAGACAATCCCACCCGCACTTTTATGCCTTCATGAGGCACGATTTTAACAGGAGTAGCTTCAAGATATTCGAGTAAATTACTAGCCATCACATGACTTCCTGAAAGGATCAGGTTTAAGAAGCCCAACATTTGTTGGGGTCGCATAGGACCTTGTTGCGAGCGATAGCCTCTAGCAATTCTACTGATTATGTATGATACCGGCGCCGAACCAATACGGTATCTGCCTTGCACCCCCTCTGCCCCCCCACCCCCTTAGAAATCCACATTTTACCCCTCTTTTACTCGTACGTGTGTGTGGCGATAGCTGCGCAATGCAATAAAATGCCCGCACCCCCTCTCCCCGTAAAGCATTCCTTCCCGCTCGAATGCAACACGCACGCAATTTGCGACTCATCTCTGGTCAGGACTCTTTCATTCGAGCTTCTACTTCCCCGAGAATATACCGCACATTGCACCTGTCGAAATCGAGCTTCGCCAGAATCCCCACCCCACAAATTTCAGCTGGAAGAGCAATGGCCACCGTGCAGGAATACAAACTCAAGTTGGATAATGTGGACTTGAGGGATGGGGAGAAGGTCGAAGCGGAAGTTGAAGGGGTGAGGGATGGGAAAGTGATCCTGCTGAAGGTTAATGATCGGTTGAGAGCCTTGGGGTCCAGATGCACACGTATGAATGAGCGAGTTGTTTGATTGAGTGCGAAGGGGGGTCTAACTTGGCGGTGGGTATGCGGAACAGATTACGGAGCACCACTAGTTAAGGGTGTGGTTGCTGGTGATGGGAGGATCTCTTGTCCTTGGCATGGAGCTTGCTTTAGCACTGACTCAGGGGATATCGAAAGTATGCCTTTATTTCAATGCCCTATTGTAATGGAGGATAGGGATTGGCTGGCTGACAGCTCAGATGCTCCTGCCCTGGACCATCTAGCCGCATTCCCGGTGTCAATTAGAAATGGTGCAGCCTATATCACGGGCGATGAAGCGACGATCAAAACTGGTAAACGGAAGCCAGATATCAGCTACAAACCACTTACCGGTGTTGGCGAGGAGCATGTTGTCATAGTTGGAGGGTTGGTAACCCCTAAAACAGCCCTATTTCCAAGGCTGACCTTTCCAGTGGCTCCGGAGCCCTGGGGGCAATCGATGTCCTCCGCGAGAAAGGCTTTGGAGGCCAAATCACAGTTTTGACAAAAGAGAGTTATCTGCCCATTGACAGAACCAAGCTCTCCAAAGCTCTTATCGCGGACGAGCAAAAGCTACAATGGCGAGATGCTCAGCACTTCCGTGACGCTGGAATAGATTTTCATCTTACGACAGAGGTTTCTTCAATCGATTTCAAGGCCCACAAGATCCATACCAAGACGGGAGGTGAATTCTCGTATTCAAAGGTCCTGCTCTGCACTGGAGGAACCCCCAAGAGATTACCTATGAAAGGCTTCAAGGACCTAGGAGATATTTTTGTGCTGAGAGGTGTTGATGACGCGCAAAGGATAAACTCGGCAATTGGGGATAATGGAAAGAAGGTTGTTGTCATTGGCAGTAGCTTCATCGGTGGGTATTGCTGAATTCTGGGAGACGATCATTCTTACATTTGGTTTAGGAATGGAGGTATCAAATTGCCTGGCACAGAAGGGGAACGACATCACCATAGTAGGAATGGAGAGTGCCCCATTGTAGGTTCCATCATGCCCTCTATAGTTTGGCCAAGGCTAAGAAATTATCCTAGAGAACGTGTTATGGGGGCAAAGGTTGGAAAGATCTTCCAGAGCCAACTCGAGAAGCGTGGGGTTAAATTCCGAATGAACTCTGGAGTCGAGTCCGCCGAACCTTCTTCAGTAGACCCTAACAAGGTTGGGTCGGTCTTATTGAAAAGTGGTGAGAAGCTCGAGGCAGATCTTGTGATCCTCGGAGTAGGAGTAGCTCCTGCTACAGAATACCTGAAGCAAAGCGGCATCAAGCTTGAAGAGGATGCATCGGTGAGAGTCGACGGATGTTTCCGTGTCGAAGGTGTTGAAGATGCGTACGCTGTCGGTATGAAGGAAGCTCTTGCCCCATGATAATACAGAAGCTCATGAGTTAAGGTGATATTGCAACCTATCCTTATAGCGGGCCGGGATCAGATGAAAATAGCAGGGTGCGAGTTGGCAAGTAGCATTCGGAACTCTTTGCTGGAAACATCATCCTAACCCACCATAGAGCACTGGAACGTAGCCCAAAACGCAGGCCGCCAAGCAGCACTTCACATCACAACAGACAGCGAGCCAACTCCCTTCATCCCAGTCTTCTGGTCAGCCATAGGCTCCCAACTTCGATACTGCGGCGCCACGCCTAAAGGTAATAATAACACACTCTCTCAAGCCCGGCAGCTCGAGCAAAAAGCAATACTAAATGCCCTAAAAACTAGGTTACGACGATATTGTCCTCCACGGAAATCCCGACCAAGCCAAGTTCGTTGCGTACTATACTCAAGGCCAGGACGTAGTAGCTGTGGCCACAATGCAAAAAGACCCCTACATGACACAATGCGCTGAGCTGATGCGAAGAAAAATGATGCCAACAAAGGATGAGATTGTAGGAGGGGTGGATGTACTGAGCGTGGAAGTCCCTGCAGGTGCTAAGATCTAAAGTCGAATCGACCCGTCAGTTGTTGGATGCATCATATCGTGTTATGGAAAGCTTTTCGAAAAGTGAACCCCAATTGGCAACTCGCATAATTGCGGATATTATCGTTTAATGGAGGCTCCAAAATGTGATTTCTGATACGTTCGTTTCCGGGGTGTTACAGTACAGGTGGCATGTCGCGCGCGGCTGTGGCCGAAGACCCAGCCCCTTCCCGTAATTTTGCCATAACCATACCGGTACAGTACCGGTACCGTACTCGAGTACGGTATCATACCCCCAAGCGCGAGCTGCGGGTAATTGCGTGCTCTGCCGTTGTCCTGGCAACCGAGCTTGGCATATATATTTATCTATGATACCACTATTACTCGAACAGCAACCCAACTTCAACAACCAACTCACCTTATAGACTTTTTACTATTGCGCCGCATGCCCTCCCCCTTCCATACTTCCTACCACCGTTTGATTCTTCTCCCCCTCTCCCCACCCACCGCCACTACAACCAAAAGGCCAAGTATCAGCAAAAAACACCCATAGTCTATTACTCTCACCCCCCACCCACCATGGACCAATCTGCTGAATCCGCCAACGCTCCCGGAAAGTCCACAACCACTCTGAATGGCGGCCAGTCCGTATCCAAGAGGTTCCGTCCCCAGCTCTCCCTTTTCCCCTCTCAGAAGCCGAACTCACAACCAAATCTGCAGACTCCAAACCGAGCTAATGCAACTGATGATGTCCACAACTCCAGGAATCTCAGCCTTCCCCACCGATGGCAACCTCCAGCACTGGACGGGGACCATAAACGGCCCCGAAGGAACCCCGTACGAATCCCTGACGTTCAAGCTCTCCCTAGAGTTCCCGTCCAACTACCCCATGGCACCGCCCACCGTGCTCTTCACCACCCCTATGTTCCACCCCAACGTGGATATGTCCGGTAGGATCTGTTTGGATATCTTGAAGGATAAGTGGAGCGCTGTGTATAACGTCCAGAGCATCCTTTTGAGCTTGCAGAGTTTGTTAGGGGAACCTAATAAGTATCCCCCCCCNCCCCCCTTCCTCCTCCTCCTCCATCTCAGTACGGCATCGGTATTGAGTACTGATAACGGTCACAGTAAGAGTCCGTTAAATGGCCAAGCAGCGGAGCTATGGGATAAAGATCCAAAGGAGTATAAGCGCCTGCTCATGCTCCGCCATAAAGAAGCGGAGGATTGACTGGTTCGTGGGGGATGTGGAAGGGTTTCTTTTCCGTTTTAGAGACAAAAAGGCAGCATTGTTTGGGCGTTGGGTAAACTTTAATTGGCTTGGTATCCTGGGTGGAGATCGGACGGAAACGAGACTGGTGCACGGTACGCTACTATCGTGGTAGTTGGCTCGTGGTAAATGACTTGACTTGTGTCTATTATTGAATCTGCTTTTTTTTTTTTTAGCCGTTATTATCGTTCCCCACACTTGCATTATTCCCCATCAGTTTTCGTGATATCGCCTGCACGACACCTTGTGAAATCCAATCCATGTCGGGAATAACGGGAAACAGGGCGACGTTTCAAACCGTGGATCAGACCCTCTTCCATTCCCCCACCGCTGTACGAGTACTCCCCCCTCCCCCCTTTTTTTCTCCCTCTCTGTGCGCTCCGCAATACTCTCCGTACATCAACCATGAACCCCCAAAGTTGGAGGGAAAACGGAATGAAAAAAAGAAAAGAAATAGTATTATTATAAGTATATTACTCCCCGCAAAGGCTGCAAAAGAAAGAAATATAATACTGCCGATCGAACCTGTGTACCATATTCCCCCCCCACCCGCCCCCCTTTTCCCATTGCCTCCCACATACCGTTACCCATCCACCCACCCATCATAATATGACGAAGAAAAAAGGAAAATCCCAAAATAAGCCAGTTAACCATACCATACCAATACCCCCCCCCCCCATCTAAAGCGTAAACCTACGAGTACAAACGGACCGAAATACTACCACAAACAAACAAAAGAAAAAGAGAGATAGAAAAGAGGGATGGGGAGAGAGCGGCAGAACAGGGAACGGAAAAAGGAAAAACATTGAAGTAAAAAATGAGAGAAAGAACGGGAAGCCCCTCAAGGATACAGCCCGCTATCGTTGTTTCCAGTGGTCAAGTATGAAAAGGTAGAAAGGAAGAAAGAATGATATGAACGCCAAGACAAAATCCCATTTCTGTATTTACCGGGAAAGAGAAAGGAAAGGAGAAGGAAGGAAAAGGACAAGTTATTTGGTAGATAGGTAAGCAGTAACCAGGTAAGTACATCAGTCGAGCAAGTTATTCGCTAATGGCGAACAAGAAATGAAGTAGGAGAGCGAAGGTTTAGTGAGCGATGACAATGATAAAACAGAAATCGAATAACGCCAGTTTGATCCCAAGGGTTTTTAAGTAGCCAGTGAAGTGGGCAAGGCAGGTAAGGCCAGGAGGAAAAGGGCATGGGCTGTCTAGTCGTTTTCGACAGAAAAAGGCAACTTCTGGGAGGAAAGGTAAGTAGAAGGCCGGCGTGTGAATTATTATTGATACAGAGCGCAAAACGTATTAAGTTGTGCACGGTAATGCAAACTATGGGCGACGAATGGTCTTGTAGTAGGAGGTTAGTAGGTCGAGCAACATGAGGTTAATCAGTAGGGAGCGTGCATACCAATACCCAGGACATGTTTCTTGTTGTTTGTTTCTTTCAAGATTATACCATTAGTGACTGCTGATTCGGAACGAACGGCTGGGCGGGGAATTCGCTATCGACGTTCATCACATCCACGTCGGCATGGACTCTGATCTCCGGTGTTTCTGATGTGACCGAAGGCGCAGCCGAAACTTCCTCCATCTGACTTCCCGCCGGTGGGGTAGGAGGGGCCGATTGGTCAGATATAGGGGCACCCCAAGTTGGGATCGTCCATTGGACGCCAGTGAATGACTTTAAACAGAACGTGGCCTTGGACCACCGCTTGCAAGGCTTTCCGGTCCTATCGAGAGCACGCAACTGCGCGTTGATTGCGCCCTGGTTGGCCTTAGGTCCCAGCTTTCCATGGTTGGCATGATGGGACATGCCATTCATCGAAGATGCTGGGGAGGCGTTGGGGTCACTACGGCAAATTGGGCAATCAGCTATCTCTATCCCTCTCGAGTATATAACGCATCATGGCTATAGTGGACACTTACAGCTTTGTCTTCTTTCGCCCGGGCTTCCCGAGTAATGCACCTGGCTGTCTTCCTCGCTTAGACCCAGGCTTTGGGCCGGGGATTCCTCGAGGTCTCTCCGGTGCTTGGGCTAGGTTCACATCTGAATTAACTGGCGAGGAACCTTCCCTGCCTGGCGAGACCTGCGCTGTTGGAGGAGACGAATCCTGAGCGGACTTATCATTTCCAGCAGGTGTATGAGGAAAGGTAGCTAAAATCTCGGGCTTGAGTTTAAGCTTGATGATCTTCGAAGGGGGAATTTTTGGCTTCGGTTTTGGACCAGGCTTCTTGCGCTCCTTGACGGGGGGAGCTGGTGGAGGTGGTGGGGGCGGTGCCGGCACGAATGGAGCGCCAGACGATGTAGAGCCCGATTCTTGAGGCGAGGGCGAGAGCGATGGAAGAGAGGAGCTCATGGCCGAACCTACAGAGACAGGCATGTCGAAATATGGTGGAGAAAAAATCTAGGATTCCGTGTAAGCCGAAAGCGTAAGGTGTTTTAACAGCAAAATGAGAGGTTCCAGGACTCAAGTCCTCAGTACCGTTTCCTGTCGCCGCTGCTTCATCGTCGTCGTAGGGGGAGTGGTGTGCTTACTTTTGGTTTAAGAGAGCTGAGGCGAGGAAAGGCCGGGCGGGTCCACCTCGTTTGGAAAATGTGAATAGCTGTAATGAGGATCGTCGGAGAGGAGCAGCAGAAACGAGATTAGGAAACACGATGGTGGTGATTGTGGTGATGATTGTGGCGATGGGAGTGTTGTGTCGGGAAATGGAAAGGAGTGTTTGGGGGAGGGAAAGGGGAAGGCAGAAGAAAAAATGGAGTGGGAAGGGCAATGCATTTTATTATTGTGCTTGTTACTTTAGTGGTGGTAGCCGTGAGCACTGGAACTCTCTAGGGGTAGGGCCGAAGTCGGTTGGGGTCTTTGGGTGTGGTGCGGCGGAAGGCTGGGTGGAGTGAAGGTTTCCGTTGTTGCTGAGCAAAAAGTCTCAGCCGGAGCACGTACGGAAGATTTGAGAACGGAGGGAGGCAACAGAGCACCACCAAGAAGAAGGAGGAGAAGGAAGGAGAAGAAAAAAAACCCAAAAAAACTCTTTGGAGTACTCCAGAAACGATGAAAGGGCCAACCCCCCCCCCCAAGTCCATCAATGATCCATTGTACTTTGCCCGTATCAGCTATCCATCGTAGAGTACAGTACTGTACAGTTACCGGTATCCGTTGTTCGCCAATTCGATCTACCGTATCACACTCCACTCCCCTCTTTCCCATATTCCTCTTCCCCCCAATCCTCCCTCGATACCGCCATTTCGTTGTTTCCGTTATACGATATTGCCCTTCCTTCCTTCCCTCCTTCCATAACCCTTTCGATAATCCTTACGTCCAGTTCCGGTGGGGATATCATACTAGCCAATGCATATGAAGGCTTACATACCCTACGGAATCCACTCAGGCCAAGAGCTTCGAGAGAGGCTTTTGCCGCAAACGAGACGACTTTGACCCAAACATCACGTACCGTGACTGGCATGATATCGTGTAAACATCCACACAGTGGGTGAAAGCTTTACCGTGCCCAGACAAAGACCGAATCGATCTGGCCTGTGCTATGACATTGTGTGGTATTATAATTATCATCATCGAAATCATAACCGCGGTCATGATCTCGTCAGGTTCGCTGAAACATTCCCTGCAGGCTGCAACTGTGCTGTGGTGTACGGTACATATGTCTACATAAACGCCTGTGGTTTCCTATCCCTACAGTACCGTAGCTCTTTGATGCCTATTGTAGACTTGTCCTGTTTCTCGTGCTCCCGCCTTCCTTCCTTCTACCGTACATCCACATCCACATCCACCACCAACCGTCCGCCATCTCGTTTGTTTGTTCCTGGTTACTCCTTCATTCTCATGCCCATTCCCAGCTGCGCTGCCACCGTCAGATATCCATCCCCTCCTCCCCACCCATCTCACCCGTAAATATATTTCGGTGTATATGTAGGTACTGTAGCTTGCTTTACAATAGGTGTAGCATCCTCTTTTTCTCGCTCACCGCTTGGTCAAAATTGGCCTTTGTCCTGAATATTCGCCCATCCCCCGGGAATGGGAGAGAGAAAAAAGAATAACGAATCCCTGTGTCGTGGAATCCTCCCCTCCCATCCAGCCGACAAGGGAATAAAAAATAAAAAAGGTCAAGTGTGCAACTCGACTGACTTCCTGAAGCTGGTCTGGCCTACTGTATCCTCATTTTATTTCATTTTTCCTTGGTAACCGCCTTCCCTCCTAGCCTGCGCTCTTTTTTTTTCCTTCCGTTTTTTTTCCTTTTCCCCCCTTCCCACCATTGTCATCGCCCCCCGTCTGTTCGAAATGCACAAGACCCAGGAGGAGATTCTCGATCCAGCTTTCCTATTTTTTCCACTACATCGCCTGGTGTTTCACGGGGCTAAACGGGAGGGATTTTCATTCCTGAATGCAGTGTACGGTATGGTACGTGTGTCTGACAAGCTGATTGGGCTCCAGGTGCTCGAGTATTTCCACTTCCCCCATCCCCAACAGTCATCCGCAACGCGGGAATAGCAGAGGCCGACTAACCCATCCATTAATCCCATATAAAATCTTGACGGAGAAGCGTAGAGGCCAATGCCCTCCGTTTTTCGCCTGCAACCTTGCAAAACAGCAGTACCATATATTAGTATTTGCAGTGTACCAGTATCCCAAGCACCATACTCGTGGGAGGAAGCGAGGAGTATGGGGCGGGATAGAATTTTCAAGAGACGAGAGCGCTGACCCGGCTCGCGAGGGACCCGGGGGAGTAGAATTGCATAGGGCATCTGTGTCGCAGGTAGGTACCGTACAGATTTCGATATCGATCGCAGGGCAAGCGCGATGTGGCACGAATGAATGAGAGAATAGACTTCTGGTTAAAAGCGCCACTGTGTTTTTTTGTTTCCTCATCCGTCCGCTGACGGTGTCACGACTCGGCTTTCGAGAAATGAAATTGGTGGGGAAGTGGTGAGTATGATATGATGCCAAGATTGATGAAAGCAGCCTTGGGATTAGCTAATGCGTTACTAATGAGAGGGCGAGAAGAGCCCTTTGGCCATGCCGGTATTACTCGAGGAAATGAATCTTGTCAAAGATTGACGTATCAGATCGCGGCGCCACATGATGGCAGCGCAAGGCACAAAAAACAAATGCCATGCACGAGTTAAGCCCCAATCTCGGTTCTGCTGCTTGTCCTGGCGGGAGTTTGAAGTTTCCCCTCACCCCCTCCCGATTGAAGGCCACCGGTGCCGGTGTCCCCTAGCATCTTAGGTTGGGCTCTCCATTCTCTCTACGATAGATCTAATACATCGCCGGCCCCGGTATCATACCTTGAACACACGAGAGGTTAATGTAAGGAACTTTGTGCTGTAAGAGCGGGTGGGTTTGAACACGCTGTGGGTAGGTGGCAGGGCTCTCGTTATATTGGACTCATGTGAGGGAAAGACCTCCCTGCTGACCCCGTGTCCTGAGAGTCCTGCTCGCAAGTTATCGCATGCGATCGACATCTGTGATATTCTGTAGGATAGAATGGTAGTGGAAGAAGAAAAAAGAAACAGTGCAATTGCGAGGGCGGTACCGGTGTGCACAGTACGTATAGATACGTACCAGTATGGTATTGGTGTCGAAATGTCTCCGCCCGAAACTTCGCCAAACAAGACAGGGCTTGTCAGAATATCTTCAGAGTGAGAGTGAGAGTACAACGGCATCTTTTTGCCGTCACGTTTTCTCTTATCCAGTAATTCTACAACCTCTCGTCTCATCCAGCTAAGTTTCCCCCTCTTTCCTCCTCTTACTCTCCCATCACGGTTTCTACTCTCACATTTACTGCTCCTGTCTCCCTCTCTCTATTTTTTTTTTTTTTTCGTTCATCGTTGTTTGTAGCCTCCGAGTCTGAAGCGAAGGAGAGTGGTCAGGGTGTCAATAATACCCTGACTCCACGATCATCCGCCCTCATCATCATCCATCATTCAACCCTGCGGTACGCCCCGCTACCGCTATCCAGCCACTTACAACAACAACAACAACGACCACCCCCCTTTGCTTTCTCCCCTCCGGAAATTCGCCTTACCCACCCCCTCAATCCCCCCGCACCCTCTCACCCCGCAGAGCAGACCTATCCAACCGTGCCGGAGGTTGGCCAACTCAGCTTCATCCGTAATCAGGCCCTACCTCGCGTAAACGGCTGTTGTCAAATAACGATCGGAGGCCGAATCATTGTCCAAAAGCAGTACCTAGCATCAGCTTCTATCACCCCCAGTCCTATAATACATCCCCGCAGGTCTCTTGAGCCCGTTGATGACCAACTCGATCCCGGCGGCCTCAAGTCAGGCTGCTGCAACAATGTCAGGCTCATCTTCCCTTAGACGTTCTATCGTGGCCCCCAATAGTTCTTATGCTTCGGTCCTTTCTGGTCAGTCTCGTCTTTCCGGCTTTACATCGGAGCTCAGCCATCACAACGGGACCGGGGTCCATAGCCGGCATTTACCAAGCTCCACCATAAATTTTCCCGCGTCAAATAGTTACGCCATGAGTCAGAATCAAGCAGCACAGCAGCCTACCACTGTCCCCAGTTACCTTGCAGAGTCAAGTTATGCCGAGAGGCTGGCTGCGCGATCCGCTGTCTTTAACCCATTGCCTACCCCACCCCCGTCCTTAACACTTTCTGGGAAGGTCTCGCAAACCCATCGAGGACCGGCGTACGATGTTATCGAGAATGTTTCGGGTGATGATGATGTGTTGAACCCGCTGCCTACAAGATGGAACGAAAACGACAAGTGCCCAGGAATTGATCTTCCCAATAATGGAATGGAAGTGAAATTTATTGGTAAACCTACCTTGTCAACTGCATATACTCCCTGGAGACTGTTCTTCAGTGCTAATCTTGGCTTCAACCCCACTTGTTGGAGTCCTAGGCCCTCAAAAAGCTAGTGACAATGATGCTGCTGCCGTAAGAGCCGATCAATCTATGCCGCCACAATGTGGATTGTTCTATTACGAAGTTACGGTTGTTTCGAAAGGGAAAGAAGGGTAGGTTGACGCACCTAGGCGAGGCGAATGGCGTGCTGAGATTTTGAGTGCAGTTTAATCGGTGTTGGGTTTTGCACGCAGAAAGTGCAGCTCAATAGGCTGCCGGGTTGGGAACCCGAATCATGGGGATATCATGGCGACGATGGGAATTCTTTCTGCTGTCAAGGTACTGGAAAACAGTACGGCCCTCAGTTCTCCACCAATGACATCATTGGCTGTGGTGTAAACTTCAGGACTGGGACTGCTTTTTTCACAAAAAATGGCGTTGAATTAGGTACCGCATTCAGGGATATCAAGGGGAAATTATACCCGGCGGTTGGCATGAAAAGGCCTGGGGAACACGTCCGTGTCAATTTCGGACAAGAGAGGTTTATTTTTGATATCGATCACTACATGAACGTATGTCCTCTGTTTGCTTGTTCGTTTCCAGAGAAAGCTCTAATTCACATAAACATCCAGAACGAAAAACGAAGAGTTTATGACGAAATCAACCGCCACCCCACAGCGGGCCTTTGCCCTTCCCTTGATGAGGCTGCCCTAATACAGGCTCTCGTATCACAATATCTTGCTCATGATGGATATGTTAACACTGCGAGGGCATTTTCTGATGATGTCCAAAACGAAGCTAGGGCATTAGAAAGTGGACGCCCTGGCTCCCTGAAAGCTTTAGAGATGAGGGAAGATAAAGATGCAATACATCGCCAAAGTAAGATATAGTACTTCCCGACTCTTTATCCTCTCTTTTTCCACTCCTAATATTAGTTTGCTCTTGCAGAAATTCGGGGCGCGATTCTCGAAGGTGACGTGGATCGCGCACTTGACCTCACCAACAAACATTATCCCGCCGTTTTGCCGAATAATCAGGCAATATTTTTCAGATTACGTTGTAGGAAATTAGTGGAGATGATCAGACAGTTTGCAGAGGCTGTTCACGACGCTCCTGCTGGCTCGAGGGGCTCCCACGATGACCCCGTGGTTGGTGTTTTCGCACAGGATATGGAGATAGATGACCCCGCAGGCGCTGGAGCTGGTTGGGAGGAGATGGATGTTGAAGATGAGGACGGGAGTGGTGGTGTCGAAACAGGCATGGGGGCGGATCAGACAAAGAATGCTTTGGACGCTGCGGTTAAGTATGGACAGGATTTGAGGGTTGAGTTCTCGTCAGACACTAGACCGGAGATCAGGAAGGCTCTAGAGGAGGCTTTTAGTCTTTTGGCTTATACAGATCCCAGAAATTCTGTCCTCGCTCACTTGTTGGATGAAGAGGGGCGAGTCTCCGTGGCCGAAGAACTCAATTCTGCTATTCTTGGTATGCCATCCGTTTTGTGGTAGTAATTATGTGCTAATATTGATCCGAACCATTAGTCTCAATGGGGAGATCATCAGTCGCTGCTTTAGAACGACTTGTACAACAGTCCACCGTCCTGATCAACGAACTGAGCGAAGGGGGAGGGCCTGGGGCGTTCGTCAACCTTCGCAACGACTACCTCCGCAACGATCACCACCGCAGTGATTATCTCAAAACTCCAACTAGGTATTGAAGCATGGTGCTGGCTCAGATAGCAAAGGGGCAACGTTGGCAGCAGTAGTGGTAATATTTGGCTTCAGAACGGTTGGCCGGGCGGCATTAAAGTTTTAGCATTCGTGGGGTTTACAGGCATTTGTTATCTACAACTTCTGGTACATGGCTTTATTTTCTTATTTTTATTTTTTTCTCCTTTTTTCTCTCCTCTAACTTTTTTTCTCTTTTTTCTCTTTTCTCGCCACTCTTATTAAATGTATTTTTTTCTCTTTTTCTCGCTTTCCTCCAATTACCTTTTGTAGGCGCGCTGTTGATTAACTGGTACGGGTATGGTATCTGGGCTTTTATGATTGATCTACGGCGATGGTGGTTCTGCCGCTGTAGGGGGATTTCCTCTTATTTTCTCCTCTTCTTTGTTTGGCTAACAGCAATCCCCTCCCTGATATCTAAATTGGTATACTCTACTCTACTCTTCCGGTGCTCTTCTCCCTCTCTACGATCCCGACTTGTCAGGGGCAAAAGTGGAGGGGGGTTACTTTGAGCCTTCTCCCCTCCCTCCTCCCCCTATACCCTTACAAATACTATTAGAGAATAGCTGAGCATGACGACTAAAATCCGGGATTCCCACACTCGTATCGCATTTCCTCTCCTCTACCCCCTTCCATTTTTTTTTTCATCAATGCTTTGCACCCTTTCCCCTGCAAAACCGCTTCCACCCAAGCTTGTTGGTTCCAACCCACATGCAGTATCATAGGATATGTGATTTTCCTGGGGTATGATAGCATTACTTTTTCATTATTCTTACCCCTCTTGCCGTTTCTAATTACTAATTGTAAAGCCTTTTCTCCACTCTGCTCTGGTCCGCCCTCTCATTTTCCTTTTTTTGTATGTAGTTTGTCGGGTAGGTTGGTGCAGGTGAAGTAGGAATCGTTTTATCATAATATTATCAAACTGAAAATTGGAACCTTGCCGAACAGTTGAGCGGGGCGGGTACGATTGACGAGTGAGATGTCGTGATGTAATGGTGTGATGGTGGTTTGGGGAATCTTGCGGCGTAGTGGTGCGTAATTAGACAAGCTATAATGGCCTATGCCGTTCAGTTTTGGTGAGCCACCCTAGGTGTCAAGCTTACTTCCCACTGGAATTCGCCGGGTTTCTTGCCATTGGTGAAGGGACGGACGGTGCGGTGCGGTGCGCCTTTGCGCTCGCAGAGTATTTCTATTTCAAGCCTTATGATGGGCTATGGGTAGAATATCTGGTTGTTATCTGTTATCCGTGACGGGAGATCTTGGGGGTGTTACGGGGTCCGTTGACATCTAGGCTACACGAGTTTTCGATTCGTTGGAAGTAGAAGATAGGGTGATTCTGCTTGAGGAATCTTTTGTTTGTTATAGGTGGATATACGGTAGGTAGTTGGTTTTCTAGGGAGTAAGTCAGTCGTGCATCATATCCTCTGCAGGATACAAGGATGCCGGTATTATAGGATTACAAGTCGGTGCGGAATTCAAGTGGGTTTTTCTTGTAGGCACACGCTTCGTAGCTGTGCTCGGTCCTCACTCGTATCAGCTTGAGGCGTGTGGGGGAGGGGAGGTTTTTACGGGACGATGTTCCAGGGATAATGAGTGGGTAGGATGGCTACAATTGAGTGTGAATCCTACCTACTGGAGCAGTGTGTGTGGTGTTTTACCAACCGTGGTTTCCAATGGATCATATATCCCATAGTCATCCGGTGTAAGAAGATCCAGCTCAAGCTGAGAAGTAGAGGAAGGGGTCATGCTGGAGCAAGCTGTATTGTGTGATACCTCCTATGGCCTACCAGCCCACTCTAGCGGCACCAAGTTTGAGGGGTTGGCACTTGAACCCGCGAGTGAATACGGAACCTACTGGCTGGCTGACTGGAGATGACCGATAGGCGCCCTATTAGATGGAGTTACTATGTTAAGGGGTGTAGTTGGGAATGGGGTCCGGGCGTGGTGATAGGAGGGGGTATGTTAGGATGGGGTTCCTACAGAATCTCTGCAGAGGCCATTTTATTCTTCTTCTTAGTGCTCTAAATGTCCTCTAGCAGGAGTAGTAGTGAATATAACGTATCCAGTAATCCTCCACGACGGGGTGGTACTACTATAGGACATAATTTACAAGGTAACCTAGGAATTCCATAGCTTTTCTTTGGTGGCTCGATCAACTTGAGCCGGCAAACTTTGCCGTGTGTGTACCGTGTAATTCTGAGGGTGGCCGATTATGTACACAGTTGTCCCACTTCCGGGGACAAGCAGGTACTACCTGTTCTGGCATTGAGTTAATACTACTAACTGTACTACCGCTAGCCAGTGAGAAAGTGATTTTTTCCCGATGCAGGCCGAGGGGATTCGGCACTTATCACGGGCGGGGATAATAAACCTCTCCCAAAATATTCTTGCTATCCAGGCCGGTTTCTTGAGCGCCTGGTCAGAGTCCGAGCCGATAGCGTGAGATACCAACACCACTTCTTGGGAGAAAGCAGGATCACTCCGACTAGGTAGCCCTTTCTGTCACTTTATCATATAATCTCTCAGTCCTAGTCTTGTTTGTCTTCCGGACCTATTGGTGCACCTTTAGCGTCCCATTCACCATGTAAATAGGGAAGTTTCTGAGGGGGTGGAGTTCATGACTTGGAAGCTCTTCCCTCACTAGGCCGTTGCGGGATCGTCACGGTATCTCACTCGATGATTTGAAATTTACTGGGGGTTGAAATAAAGAAATAAATAAAACCTAGGATCGCCAATTACGAAATAAAGGGGAAGTATTCATAAGGGCCGAGATAGTTGGTGCGTTGGCCCTGAGCTAGACATAAGGACTCTACTAGCGTAGAAAGTATGTGTTCCCACGTCCCATAGAATAGAGTTTGTCTCTGAGTTTCGACTATAAAGGGGGTTGGTATTTTGCCATTGACAGGGGACGGGATTGCTATTTTCTCGTCCCCCGGGGGGCTCCCTTGGATGGAGGGTTTGCTTTTCATGCTGGTTTGGCCCTTGTATGATACGACGCGCCACTTTTATTCATTGCTGGTGAGAGGGGACGTATCTGCGATCCATCCCAACTATTATATGAAAAAGGCGTCCCAGGGTCCCTGTGGCCGGGGGTCCCGCATCGCTTCTCGAATGTACAGTGCCTCAGCAAACTTGTTTCGGTTTTTAGTTTTACAATAGCCATATCATGAAGAAATACAAGAAAATAATTATCAGTTGAGCCAGAATCCACCACCGAAACGTCGTATGCGGTTCCGCTGGCGAGCCTCTCCACCGACGCCCCTGGCCAGGGTTCCCCTCCCTCGGCGGGGTCAGCTCCGGATCAAGGTCGTCGAGATCCTGGCGAGCCGGCTCGCCATCCAACAAGGTACTAGCCAGCGTCGAGAGACTCGACACTTTTCTATGGCTCGGGGAGTCCATTCCCGCCAGCGCCCCTAGAAAACCCATCTCAGTCCCCCACCCGGTAGACCCAGCACCTTCAGAGTCGGGATCATAATCCCAACCACGCTCCCCCTCGTACACATCAAGATCCCCAAACCTCTCCCCCTCCAATTTGGCGATCCTTTTCCGCGCGTGTTCGACAGTGGGCACTATCTTGTCGAGTAAGCCAGACAGCAAGTGTTTGGCTTGGTGGCGTTTGATGACTTGCGCTTGGAGCTGGTTGATGGGGAGGTGCAATCGCAATATTTCCTTCTCATGTCTGCGGTAGACCCTGCGGATCTCTCCCTCCATTTTGACGATTTCTAGGTCGAGTTCTGCGGTTTTTCTGTTAAAGTTTCCCATTTTTGCGCTGAGCGGGGATTAGTTGGGGACCGAGTGGCTGGGGGTGTTGGGCAGGGGGGGAGCTTACTTCTGTGAGATGATAGTTGTTATGAGGTGTAGTGGGCGGGGGTATTGTTGAAAGACGTTTCGATATGTCTTCTGGAGGGATATTTGAAGATGGTTTTGGGAGTTCTCGGTAGGGGTGTGGAAGGCTGATGGGAAGTATTATCTGGTGAGATGGAGGGTGGTGAAGGGGATCTCTTATATATTGGGCTGGGAGACATTCCCAAAAACCTTTTGTGGGGAACTAGAGTGCTTTTCATTGAGCGCAAGCTGGGATTGCTATTGAGCTCACGGGAGATTCCTATTGTTTTTCTAGACACTGCCAATTGACCATTGAGCTAAAGTCTCATCTATTGTCCCTCGGGACATCACCATTAGCCATTGAGGTTGGTCAGGTAGCATAGACTAAGGGTTGAGCCCTTGCTACTCTCGGGCAACTTGAACCCTACCCCCTCCAGTGATATTAGATTCCTTCCATAATAATATTATTATGATATATTGGCCAAGATATCCCCTCGTGATGTTTTATATTTTTCAGTACTCCCTCCTAGAAGATCTCTTTTCAGTAATTTTGCATATCTGTTAACCCCCCCACCCTAGTGTCCCCAAGCCTCCCAGACACGCGTGGGTACCACGAGTATAATATTGCCGATAAATCTTGGCGGGGAGGTATGACATGGTTTAGAGAGAAGATATATGTATTTTGCGGATTCGGGGGCGGAGGGATCTGACCCGAGGTTTTTATGGTCCCAACACAGATCAAAATATCGCCCTGAACGATGGATGGTTCATCAACCAACCCGCACGAATTAACCAATCTCTTTTCCCCAACAACGCCAAATCTTTGCATGCCCGCAAGTTTCGATGGCCTTTCGTGGTGCGGTCCATCCCCAGGTTAAGGTATCTGAAGGGATGGCGAAGAAAGCGTCAAAAGGAGAACACTGTGGGTGAGTAGGTTTTTTGAAAAAGCGGAAAGTGAGGACTGAGGAATTAGCCCTCCCTCTTTTTTTTTTTGACTATGTTATCACACTTGGGAGTTAATTGATTCAGAGTGTTATTCACTGTACTCGAATATATTTGGGGTATTATATTTTTCGTCGTAACTTTCAATACGCATCCAGATACCCTATGTTACCCCTCGCAGTGTTCCATAGTGCCTAATTCTCATATGGAGCCGAGAATAAGCTACTTATATTGATGAATTTCTTCTATGGCCAGTACTACAGTCACCACCGGAGGCATGGCGAAACTGGGTGGGTGGCAAACAGGAGGGTTGCAATCAATTAAACCAAATCCGAATATCAAGAAGATCCCTGTACAATAGACCTTGGCAAAGTGTGTACATAGCAGTAGTGTTATATTAGAGAACAATCTATTAGAATTATAGGTTAAATACATCCTATAAAAATAGCTGTAGGTACAAGTAAAACATCATGAGAATGAATATGAAGATGGTGGAATTCTCAATGAACTTGAGCCATAAGAGAGAAGAGAGAAATATTTAAGAAAGGTGAAAGGTGAAAGTAAATGAAAGCAATACCATAACATTAAAAATATTAGAGTCTTTTTCTACTTCATTTTCTTCACTGCAAAGTATGCTTCCAAATATTGATTACAGTCATTTCGACTCCCAATCCAAGTTGCTAGAATTAGCTATTAGCCAATACTATTCAGAACTTTATAACTACCAAGTAAATCCAATTCTTAGCAATAGGCCAGTCATTCTACAAATTTCAAAAGTATATGTGATACCTGAATCTACACTTTGGTGGCATATCAAGAATACTGACCAGCAAACCCGCAAGCAAGCCTCTCGAAAAGCATATATTTTATCCTCAGTAGAGGAGGAAGTCTTAGTTGAACGGTTGGTTTTCTTAGACAACTGCAATATTCCTGCCAATCAAGATATATTTTATAGCCTAGGCCATAGCCTGCTATACTGCTGAGTATACAACTATAGTCTAGGTCGCAATTGGATATACTACTTCCTAGAACAATAACTGAAGGTAAAATACATATATGTAAAGACAATTGTCACATTGAGGGCTAATGCTAAGAGTTAGGATATCATGGATGATTTCTTTTAGAAGGTATGTAGAATTCAATATCAATTATAAATAAAATAAAAATTAAATTTAAGTTTGGTTTTTATTACTATATATTATCTAAGTTTCTAAAAAGTATCTACTATAATATTAGGTTAAAAGTACTTAGTTTATAATTAGCTAGAAGAAACAATGAAAAAATATTCAATAGTACCAAGAAACATTTACAACCTTAATGAAAAAGGATATCAGTTAGGTATAGGGCAAGCCATAAAACAAATTACATAAAATATCCTAACGGCCTCAGTCTGTAAGGAATAGTGAGTTAGAGAATCCTGTACTATGGTTGAAGCAGTAGGAACAGATGAGTTTTCTCTTACCCTACTAATTATTTTCCATGGGGAAAACCAGCTGACTGGCTGGTATAAAACAAAGAAAGAGATGGAGTTCTGGTTTGGAAATGCAACAAAAGGCTTTAACAATAGTGTTATATGCTTTAAGTACTTTCAAAAAGTATTTGAGTCTGAAACTAGAAATAGGTAGGTAAAAAACATTTATTATACTAGTAGATTTATATTAACCTTTTTTAAATTATTGAAAACTAATACATAAATTTAGAGCATATTCAGAATAATATCTAGCTGGTCATCTTCGATTGATTTGGTTTATATATAGATCTTATGCTATTAGAATACTGTCTAGATTACCAAATTCTTCCTTTCTGTTTACTGGCACATACCTCTTAGTATATCCTTCAACCTTTAGATGTTGCAGTATTTTTACTGATAAGTACATATTATATATATATTATACATATGAGGTCAATAAACTCCATGTACCAGTAGACTTGGACAAAGATCAATTTCTGAACCTACTTGCTTGGGTACATCAAAAGACTTTCATAAAAGAAAACATTTAAGCTGGCTTTTGAGCTATAGGAATCTATTCTTACAACCCTTGAATCATTCTCAATATACTAAGTTTATCTGAACCAAGCCTACTATTTTGAGAACCTTTACCTCTATGCTTAATTTTTCTTCAAACACCCTATGTCCTGATTATCTTTTATTTGAAGACTCTAACAACTCTACACTCAATCTACATACTCTATGTTAAAGGACTATTAGCAATTACTTCTAATAGTCCTTAATCAATCAAGTGGTGATTGGTTTTATCTAAGTTAAAATTAGCTGCAGAAAAAAATGCAGCAAAGGTCATTATGTATGAGGCTAGAGAAGCTCACTTGTGTGAAGAACTAAAACAGATTACTACTAAGGGGAAGGCAAACCGAAGGCAACTCAATAGTGAAGCAGCTGGTATCCTTAAAAGAGGAGAGGTGCTTGCTGAGTTGAAGTGTAAACATGATCAAAAGAATGCTAAATAGGTGTAATAAAGATAGAGAAAGTATACAAGTACTTCTACCTAACAGGTAGGTACTTCTTCCACTACCACCCATCCTAGTAACTAGCCAATTTGTATTTTTATTAGTATTTTCACACTCTTTAATTTCTTTAAATTCTATTTACCAATTTATACCTTTTCTTGGTGATCAATTCCGGTTCCCATACAGGTTTGGTTGACCACTTATGGTAATCTAGTATTAGGACAAAAAGTATTGTCATTGCTGTAAGCATGTAGGTTAGGTTTTTGGAGTTATATCAACCAACCCCCCTGTTTGCCACCTGACCAGTTTTGCCATGCCTCTGGTGGTTACTATAACCTTGTTTCTATACAACTCTATATATAGGTATGATAGCATATAATATAAGAATATACTGATAACCTCATAGTGAATAGGTAGATTAGCATACTAGTCAAACCTCCAAGGATAGTATAGTGTAGTATACATATAGTTTATAACAAGAGACAAGACTATCCTATCATGCTACAGGTTATTCAGAGTTATAAGGAAATTCTACAATGTTAATATAGTAGGAAATCAAGTTAAGGTGAACCTTATGCTCCCATACTAAAAAAAAAAAAAAATTTGACTTTTGATATATGAGCAACTTATACTTTATGGTCAGGTATTAAGTAATACTTGTAATTTTCTGATATTTGCAAACACAACTGAGTCTGCATATTCCTGCATATGTACAATCCCTTGACCTGTTACTGAATTTTATATTATTTTAGTGCAGGCTTAGCTATCCTCTGTTACAGTCAACTATTCACAATTTGTATCCTACCTTAGAAAATAAAATAAATATTAGAAGTATCTTTTTAATTAATAACAGCAACAACAGCAATTGAAGTAAGTAAGAGACAACTTTAATTAGCAAGCCAGGATCCTAGTACAAGTGGAGATGCTTTGCTATTCTTATCCTTCTAATAAAACTTTCAACCACCTGGTTCTCTTTCAATTACCATATTAAAGCTTTCTTTCAACTTCTCAGGGCCAAAGCTCAGACCGTCTTCCAGCACTACCAGTAGTCTTCCAGCACTACCAGTAGTCTTCTAACTTTTCCAGCTGTCTTTCAACTCTCTCAATTGCCTTCCAATACTCTTGGCTATTTTTTAACTACCCTAGCTATCTTCCAACTCTTATGGCTACCTTCTTGCCTTTCAACTCTCCTGTTTTTCTCCTAGTTTCTCCAACTGCCATCCAACTTTTTCAACTTCTATCCAACTTTTTTGGGTCTCTTTCAACATAATCTAATATGTACTACAACACTGCTTTGCGGATTTCCCAGCCTCCTGATTGGTCCAGAGTTGAGCTCC